GATGGTTTCTACCGAGTTCAGTGCTTTGTGTGCTTTCGGACTGAGAAGTAAGCCAACACCTCGTATTGTTGAGTTATTTGTAGCTTTTTCAGCGGAAGATGTAATCATAACCCAACCTTTCTTCATGTCATGGTACTTCAACTCGATGTCATCATGGTAGATCCGATGTTCTTGGATGCATATGACATCAATGTTCTGTTCCTGAGCTAGTGCAGTTAGTTCACCTGTCCTTCCGATGGAGCTCAGAGTGCGACAGTTGAAAGTGGAAACAAGAGTAGTCTTTTTACACTTAAAAAGCCGGCAATCCTTCAAAATGTTTTGGCCAGTAGCATTCTTTTCGATCCCAGCCTGGCATCCCACTGGGGGACGCGCTCCTTGGTGACCCACGCGACGAGCGATGTGGTATGAAGAAGTTGTAGAATTGCTAGTCATGTTGTTTTTCAATTGCTTTCACACTTCCACGAGGAAGTACGATTCAGTACTAGTGGTCGCAACTCCTACTAGTAACCGCAGTTTTCTACTAATGAGAAATGGTTGATCCATGCCGTAGTGTTCAACAGTGTCATACATCATCCGCCATCGATCAAAACACAGATAGCCACAATATCTGTCTGCCGGTATTTGCCTATCAGTGCCACAGAAGAGCTGCTGCCCACTCCTGGATTTTTTGTCATCGAGGTTTACTCCTCTAATTGATTAAGATTTCGTCTGGTTCCTACCCTTCAACCTGTCTGGCATGGTTAAACCTGCCAGGAGACTTGCTCCCGCCAGCTTAGCTCTCCGGGTCATAGGAACACACAAGCTAATCCACCACGTCAAGGTACTTAATCAGTGGACCAGAAAATTTGACTTAACCCAGGACCAGAAAATTTGACTTAACCCAGGATTAATCCTCGGTATCTTTCCAGGAACCTGGCTCTGGTTGCAGATACACGGTGTGGAGCAGAGTTTCTTTAAGTATGAGGAAAAAACTAAGCATTAACTGAAAACAAGTACAAGCTATTGACTTCTGGGCCGAGTTGATCTAAAGGCCTATTCAGAGTGCAAATCCAGGGTTAGTTAGCTACCAAGACAACTTGTTTGCTTTGTTACAATTAACCCTGGCCAACTGCCACGTGTAACAAGGCAACGAACAACTACACCCTGAAAACACTTAATTCTTGCATTTTTTTTCTAATATTCTTCCCCGTAGATGAAAAAAAGATCATTGAAGACGAAACTGACTCAATCTCCGAGTACCATCTGTTGGTGAGCTGTTCTATCGAAGCGAGCGTTGTTTTTACGTATGTATTCGTTTTCATACAAGCTGTTCTTTTTATTAGAGAGAAATCCAATCTGAGATATTTACGCTTTGTAATAAATGTCTTGCATGAAGTGGTATCCTCGTTTGGAACTCCAAGGCCCGTGCTTTGCCTTATCGATCGAAGAGTATGAGTGGAGTGGAGGGGATGGAGGGAGGGCGACACGAACTGTCCCATTTATACAAGCATATGAAGTGCGTCTTAGCTACGCCGCCTTAGGTAATACGCGAAGACATTTTTGTGCCATTTAAACGAGAAGTTCGCGTATTTTTTTAAGACCCGTCGTCTCTGAGACGCGTCTTTTTCTTAACAAATTGAATTTGTCTAGGTGGGTGTTTGCGCGAAACAACAGTTTTAAAAATTTGAAACCTGGACAACCGCAAGCAAAACTTCGACTTATTTAAAGTAATTTCGTGGGGTCGTTATGTTCTCTAGTGGGTGATCTAGTTGTCTTGTGCAAGTGTAAACCTGGGCCGAGTTAACTTTTGCAAAGACTTTTGGGACTGTTACTGGGGTTGTCCAATAGGTGAATCCTTGTTTACAGTTTTTGCCTCATTAGCATAGACTTATCTAATCATTATCTGATGAAGCTAATAAAATGAAATTTCTGAATATTGAAAGAGCATTAAAATTTCAGTCATGTCTTAAAATTTGAGCCCGATATACCAGAAAAAATTTACAAAGAATATATCAGCTCATTAACGTTTTGCCATCCAGCAATTTTGCGGTTTTTAATTGCTGCTATTTTCTTTGTTGCTGATTGCAAAGAGCTGAAACTTGCACAAACTGCATAAATTAACCAGCTCTTTTAATTTTAGCAGCTAATTGGTATATAAGGCTACATCATCTATCGGTTAATAACTCGTATGCTCAGGAGCAGAAATGTAAACAATGACGTCACGATGATCCGCCTTTTAGCTGACAGGTGCGTCCCTCGTGACCATCTCAAAAGTCTTTGCGAAAGCTAACTCGGCCTAGTTTCTGTGGCGAATGTGTGTCTTTAATTTACAGGAATATAATCAATGAAGGCTTTACAAATATGGTAACGTTACCAGATTCAGATGATTTCGATTGCGTGACATGTACATGCATTGCTGATGTAGACTGGGACGGACGTAACGAAGTCATTTTAGGGACCTATGGACAGGTAATGAAAAGGGTCTGGTTCGGAGCAGTTAAGTCTTAGGGCAGGGATACAAAGTTAGGGCCGGGAGTTTGGGCAATGGAAAAGAGAAGAGTTTATTGAAAGTCGAAAATAGCCTGATAACTGCACAGATGCCACTTAAAATACTGTTCTTTTTCTTCTAACTGTGTAACAAGGTATAAAGTAACCCTCTCTCTCCGTGAGCGAGTTACCAGTTATATTGTACTTTAGATCCTACTCTATGACAGAGTCGGTTTTCCCGCTGAATCCCTGATTTTTCGCTAAGAAGCACAAACAATGGGTGAGAAATTCCGGATCTATCATCGCCTTGTGGCTGACTCACAGAAGACACTTTGGTGTCGCACCCCGAGGGTTCAATTACAAGAATGCGCGGTCAGAAATATAAAATTAAACATTACAGCGTATAGAGGTCCTGGAGAGGAGGAAATGCGTCCCGCACCTCGGGAGGAACAGCTTTTCCTATTGAAGGTAATGCAACCTTGGGATCATATAAGATTCAGAGAAACTACTCATCTCCTAAACCAACGTTAACACCAACTTACAGTTAGGGGAGGGGTAGGTGGGGAGTTAGGGGAGAGGTTCCTCTCTCAACGCCTATTAGACAGTTAATGTTTTTTTTTCCTAGAAACAAACAGTAAATTTAAGGAGATATCCCTAGGCAAAAATACTGCTAAACACCATCCATAATAGGGTAATGGCTGGTTATGGAAATGGTTCTAAAGTAAAGTCAAGTTTTTCAGCGGCGCTCTAACACAAAATATGTGCAGATTTATTCAAGGAATTTTAATACCTAATTTCTCTTTGCTGACAGGAACTACTTGTATACAAGTGCATCAGCGGGGAGAGCAGTTTGCAGTCTTGTTGTAATGTTGATTTTCAATTAATCTGGAGAAGAAGTTTTGCAAATCCTTTATTCGCTATTGAGTACGTGGATCTAACAAACGACGGAATGGAGGAGATAGCTGTGGCATCTTTATCAGGGCTTCATGTGCTACAAGTGAGTGTTAATATAGCATTATCGCGACAGACCTGTAGAGGAGCGGGGAATGGCTCGCTCACGGGGGTGGTGGTNATTCAAGGAATTTTAATACCTAATTTCTCTTTGCTGACAGGAACTACTTGTATACAAGTGCATCAGCGGGGAGAGCAGTTTGCAGTCTTGTTGTAATGTTGATTTTCAATTAATCTGGAGAAGAAGTTTTGCAAATCCTTTATTCGCTATTGAGTACGTGGATCTAACAAACGACGGAATGGAGGAGATAGCTGTGGCATCTTTATCAGGGCTTCATGTGCTACAAGTGAGTGTTAATATAGCATTATCGCGACAGACCTGTAGAGGAGCGGGGAATGGCTCGCTCACGGGGGTGGTGGTGTGTGTGTGTGTGTGTGGGGAGGGGGGGGGTGGGGGATGGTGGCGATGCCTTCCCTTAATTTGCCTTCACACTAAGTATGCAAAAAAAGGAAGGCGTGGAAAGCATTTTGAATCATACTTTTTTAATCCAATAGCAACATCAACTGGTTAACCAAAACAAAACAATAAAAACAAAACAAAAAGAAAACAAAAGCGATTTATCTTTTCTTTCTTCATTTCAGCACAATTTGAACAAAACAGACGAGAGCCTTTCAAAAGGAAAGGAAACGGCTTTACAAGACTCTCAAGAGAAAGAATCAGTAACTTGAGGAATCAGTGAAAGCCAAATAACAGTGCCGTTAAAAATGTTATGTGCTGAGAAACTTGATGGAGGTCTTGGTTCGAGCGGTTTCAGTTTAAAATGCTGTCAAATTGAAAACAAAGTTATTTTCTGATTAATCAAAACAGGCGAAGCCAAACAATCAAAATACAGTACATCCAGCCAGGCGAGAAAATGCGTACAAGTCAAACCTAAGTTATAATACTCCAACCAATCAAAACAGGTAAAGCCAATCAAATCAACCAATCAGAATTCAAACCAAATATAGTACACGTAACCTGGCGTCCAGCGCGGGAAAATGTGTGCCAAAACAACGAAGTTAGCACCCTAACCAATCAAAACAGGTAAAGCTAACCCATCAGACCTCAAAGCAACTATATTACATGTAGCCAGGCGTCAAGCGCGGCCAACGCCTGAGACTCTTGTTTTGCTTAGCTTTTGCTTCTCACTGGTCAAGAAAGTTTGATCAATCGAATCGTATCAATACAAAGCATAATGCGGATTCGCTATACTGAAAACTGCTTTATTTGTATTGGTTATCAAATCTGAAACGTGTGGTTTTCAAACGGTCAGAGCGATAAGTCACGAAATATCCAGAGTGGGTCGAGTGGTAGGTTCTTTCTGAAGTGGGTTAACCCGCCTATAAACAATTTGCGAGACCTTAGGGTCGAGAAACTCTCCTTAGTTATACTCTCGTTATTTTACTACCGTGCTAACCTAAACCATCAAATTACGCGCCTGCATACTTTAAAAAAATTGAAGGCACGTTGTAAACCGGCCACTGGCTAAAAGCACGTCCATTAAAAAAGACGTTTGTCAATATTATTTCACGCAGTGCTGAAATCAGTGCCTACGGATATACTTGTGTAAGTAATAAACTCCGTACGCTGGTGACACAGCCAGAAACATTACAGCCAAAATAGGCAGCGATGTTAACACGATACTCATAAAAAGTCCCCTTATAATCTTTCTCTGCACCGGTTGATTCTGTTTGTAGATATATCTGCAACCTAAAACACTGTAAATACTCCAATGACCCCCTAAAATTCTACTATGAACGATGCGTTCACCGCATAGATAACAGAACTGGGTTCGACAGCGCGGGCAGGACATTTGATCACACCCTTCTAATCTCTGAATAAAAACCTTGCATTTGGGGCAGCGTCGAGCATTTTTGGTTCCTCCAGTGGTACTCTTGGTCCACGCTTTGAACAACTTGCTGCCGCGTTTGAAGTCTTTGCAGTTCATTCCCTTGTGCCATGGAGCGTGACACGAGAAACACCAATGGAAATGGCATTCTGAGCAGACTAAATACTTCGTTTGTTCCTTTTTCACACGCGTCAACACGCAGCAGTTGGGGCAGGTTTTTACTAGGGGATCTGTATATGCGTCTGCCAAAAGGCGGGCAAAATGTTCTTGGAGTAACGGGTAGTCTTGCAAGAAGCGCTGAATAATCTCCTCCGATAACAACAAGCTGCAGCTGGCGCATTCCACCTCCCACTTCCCCTGGGTTATTTGCAGTCGTATATAGGCCCCAAAGCACGAATCACAGAAATTTCCGTCACATTGGCGATGAATGGTTGTTCGATTTTCATGGACGTCCTCCAGACAAATCGAGCATAATACAAGTAAATCCGAATTTCTAGGATTTATTCCTGGATTTCTTCCAATTATTTCCATTCTGCACAGTTTGTCCGCGTTCACGGTAAAAAAAAAAAAGCCTTCCAGCTGAGAACAAAACAAGCAAACAATCTGTTGGCGTTCTTTTCTTGTGATTTTTCCTTTTTTGTAGCGAGCTTTTCCTTCAATGTTTTCAATGCTTCAGCTATGAAGGAAGATTTCTTCTGTTGTCAGCCAAAAGCAGACGGACTTGACAGTCAACGTGTTGCTTGCAAATGCCTCGGTTTCTTCTTCTAGCGACCTGATTGTCAGATTGCGCATAGGTAAACATAAAAAAGATGAAACGATAATGAAAACAATCCACCCATCTTAGCATGCGGGAGTACTTTTAATCAATTCCCACGAAATCTCAAAACCGACGCACAGATGCAGGAATTGCCACATAGAAGCTCTAAAGCGGGTGTCTTTCGCAGCTTGAAAGCAGATCGTTACCGAAAGCTGCGTTGCAAACTAACGAAATCTGACACCCTTTTAAGGGACCTAGTACACCTTGTTAAAAATTTATCTGGTCATGAATGGTTTGGTCACGGGTACCTGCTGCAGGGAGTTTTTCAACTGTTCATAATTGGAGCGTCCATCATTTACTGATTAAAGGCGGTGTCTCTTAATGCAAAGTATTTTACCACGGCTTCGTTCTGTCGGATCTCTCTAAGGGATTAAAAATTCCACCAAAAAATTGCATAAACACGCCGTTGTTCAGGGAAAAAAGGCCCTTTGCTTAACTCGATCACGTGCTTGGATAACAACTAGCAACGGCTTGCTGAATGGAAATTCAACCAAGCGTTCTTCTAGAAAACAAAGCTTCGCCTTCTATCAAGCGGAGCCCTTTGCTTTGAAACTCAGTCGTCTTTTATAGCTTCTCGCTCAGTCAGTGCGTAAAATATTCAACTTATCAAACATTAGCATTGTTTCCTTAGATTGAAAACTCGGTTAAAGTGAAGGATGGCAGATATTGATATATATATATTTTTTTTTTCCTATAACGGCCACACCTCAAGGTCGATTATTTTTGTAAAATAATGGCGCGGTTTAAGCCCGATATTTTTGGATTCTATCATCGCCAAAATTCCAATTTACCGTGATGCGCGCAACGTGTGCGTGCTAGTAAATTGAAAGTGAAGTATCTTAAAATTCCGTCCAATTAACCCTGTTCAATTACCGCGTAGAAAAGCTTTTATGAACTCATTAGTTGCATCAACCTATGAATTAGCCAATAAATTTTGCGCGAACCCCGGAGGAAAGCCGGGTTTGCAAACGACGAGCTTCTCGTGGCTTAATCTCAATTTTTGTCGACTCAAATCAGGAAAAGTACGTCTCTATCTGGCAGTTTGAGGCAGAAACGTATCGTCAACTTACCAAATACTTTACATTAATTTGTTCATTAATTTGAGGGCCCTAAAAGGTCAACGTTTTATGTCATTTTCAGAAATGGTAGCCTGTATTGACACTATATATTTCGTTTTCAAATTCTCTAGGAGGTTGATGGATGTTTTAGATCTGGGTAAAAATAAACTGAATAATTCGGCGATAATTCCCAGTTCCCGCCCCGTCCAATCCGTCTGCGCAGTAGAGAGCCCTAAATAAAGCAGCCTAGGGTTTTCACATCTCTTAAAAGAACGTTTCCTCTTAAAACGGTTTTTTGTTTTGACATCAGATAAAATTCAAGGGTAGTGCATGAATTAAGTTTAGTGTAGGGTCTCAAAGTGATTGTGGCTTTTTTGTACGATCAATGACTTTTTACAACCTACGGTTGCTGAATTTTTTCCGTAACGATGAACAGAAACTTTTATGAAACAAAGTTGAAACCCAGTGTTCCTGTTCAAAACATTTCTAACGCTTGGACCTATTTTGCCACCCAAACATAAGGAAGACACCTACAGCAGGATCTACAAGCCAGGACACAAGACACAACAAACACTCAAGACACTAGCTCAAACTTACAAATTGTGCCGAAAAATGTCTTACGATTAACTCTTTTTTGAAGGGTTAACTTTTTTTCTTGATGTTGTTTTTCGATTTTTAAGCCTATCGACTTAATTTTTGCCGTGTTACCAATAACCCGAAATTAACTGGGGCGGACCAAGGAATGATTTATGAAAAAAGTAGGGTTAGAGCTTGTGTCCACTGCGGGTTAAAGCTGTTTCATTGCCAATACTTTCCAACCTTCTTCGCCATCGCACGAGTTTCTACCAGACACCTTCAACAACCAGAATCTTACCGTGATCATACGCACAGTAAACTGATGTGACGTTCTACTCGTTACGCAGTAGAATTGTGTGATCTAATTATTCTGTCCAGATTTCACCGGTTGGAAAAAGCTTGTAAGGTATTTCGTGGTTCCTTTAAGCTACCTACGAGGTGTGTGGAACTCTTCAGCCAATTCGGTGATATATATTTTTGTTAAACCTTTTTTAGCCGCGGTCGCGGACTCTTCCCTTTTAAAATTACTTTAAATTTGACCTCTCTATTAAGCTTACGCGTTCACCCCATATACCACCTAAATGGCATATTTATTGTATTTTACCTCTATTGCTGAAACGGTCACTAAGTTGGATAACAGTGCAAGTTGACACGATAAAAGACCAATGAATGTACCCTTTCTTAAAACGATCATATTAAAATCATACCTACAATCACCGAACGAACGCTTTGTTGGGCAATTACCGTATGTCTACACAGGTCCGACCCGGTTGGCGAGCACACCGCACGTTAGACCTCTTTAGAATGGTCTTGACTGATGAATCAGTCTAGTTGTTCGAACAAATGTCAACAGTTCTCGCTTTCAGTCACCAGAGTGACCAATATCAGTTTTCTCCCAACAACATCAATACAAAATCAAGAGAAAAGGTTATAAGAATATATAAAATAATCACCTAAGGGAAAATACTTTGCTCTTTAAACAAATTCTCTCAGTAGTTCTTTAAGGAAATGTATGGAGATAGTATGGAGGATTTGTAAATGTGGATATTGGGCCTAATAGGCCTCTTAATACGAGTTCCAAAAACCTTCACTTCCAAAATGAGGCCAAAATGAGTTTTATTTGCACGAGAATAAAAAAGGCTGAGCACTTAACCTTGTTTTGATACGGAGGACCGGGGGAACTTGTAAAAGGCCTACTGGGGCTTAAAGGCTTAATACGAGATGTTTTTTCTCAGGCTTCTTTTTTTCGCGTCGCTGTTTTTGTTAACAATAAAATGATCATGTACATTATCAGATCCCTGCAATGCGTTTAAGAAGTTCTCTGGATTGGATGAAATAGCAGATGGGGGTTGGGGGGATTCCGGACTCCGCCACTGATTAAGATCCTGTTGTTCCCCTCCCTCTGAAATCGAAGCTCTAACCAAACCATCCAGGAGTGAGCGTTTTCTTCACAGTACCCCACAGAAAGTTTCCAGTTTCCTGCTGAATTTTCACATCGTTGACAACTTCATGCGTTACACTTTTGCCCAATTCGGCTGCGCTGCTTTTCACAACAGAAGAAGTAACAAGTTCGCCCAGAGAAGCCGCCATGAAGCCTTTGACTTCAGGGTCCTTGACCAGATCTTCTAGAAGCACTTTGCACGCATCTTTTGTGTCCTGGTCTAAAATCAGTGATTTAATGTAACTAAGCAACAACACTCGGGTTTCGTCATTCGTTAACAGATCCGAAAGCGTGTTCTTAGCAAGTTCCGCGATCTTTTTTTCTGTTGACGGATCGCTGAGTACGTGTTGAGTCAACTGTATGGCCGCATTTCTTACGTCTTCTCTGTTAAGTACTTCCATCACAAACGCACTGGCCAGCTTTGTGATTTCCAGGTCACGAAGAACGTCTTGAAGGACTGCTCGCGTGACTTCATCGGCCTTTTGTATGACGTTCTCATCAGCTACATGGAAAAATTAAATTAAAATACAAATTAAGAAAGAAGAAAGAAATTAAGAAAGACAAGGTAAGAAGAAACGCAGTAATTTTCTTGCTATTTTTGACCCGTTAATAACAGTCACTAAAATCCCCATAATGATGTAAACCCTCATAACATTTCTGTTCCACAACAACGACATTTACGACAGTGACGAGCAAGAGCGCAGACCAACCTCGTCCCCAAGGTGTTGCCGCTTTCCACTCACCATATTGGAAAACGACAAGACCCTGGAGACAAACCATCTTGACCAATGGCAGAGTGGAAGAAAGAGCACCGGAAGTCGTGTTCAGTCTTTTCCGTACCTTTTTTCCGATCTCATTTGCCCTAGCATTGTCTGTGCAAAAGCAGCTAAACACTTGAAGGGTGTGGCATTAACTTCTGATGACACAAGCAATTTTATCGTGAACCTTCTTCTCTGATGAAGACTTTGTCATGCAAAGCCTGGGTCAATTAATGATACAATCTCAAGCACAAGGATGTTCTCACTTGCAATAAGTATATGTAACTTCAGAGGCATAAAAAAATGGTGCTAAATGTGTTTTAGCCTGACATGTGATGTCACTGGTTTCCTGGCAAAATAGAGACAAAGGAACAAGCAGAGAAATTCAGATTTGGGAAGTGCTTCTGAGTGGATAAAGCATATTTCTCATTTGCGGAAACCAGTAGTGGCATCGCAAAATGTTAGCTGTTTTCTCAGGTTACATATTTTGGAGTGTAAGAATAACAAAGGGGAGGGGGGGGGAGCTTATTTTCATGATGCCGTGATCGACCATTGTTGGGGTCTGTGAACTGTGATGTACTGCTAAAACTGATCTGTGAATCATGATTGAAGTGCACTCCATGAAACACAAACTGCCCAAATCGTTGATTCTGTACAATTGAAGATCAATTGAAAAAATAAAAAGTGTTAATTTGACCAAACGACCTTATCTGGTGGCGATTTAACTTCACTTTTGAGTCTGATGTAACTTCACACTTCAGACCCACCTACAGCTGGCTTCCCTAGGGAATTTATAGCCAGAGATCACCCTAACATGTGGCCGAGATCAAAGGTCAGTAATTACACTATTTGTTTTGTGACTTGTGTAGTGCAAAATAAGCAATTTCTCTCGTGACGAGACCCCCCTTGCTCCCCCTCCCCCCCCTCCTCAACTAAGAGTTCAACATTTTTGTTGCTTGTGCTCCTGCTTATTTAACACTGTCTTTGGAAATGAAGATCACATATGAAATATAAGCTAAGCATAAGCTTATATACCTCATTTTTATCATAAGCATTAGTGACTAAATAATCATAGTAACAATAATATTATCAGTGCTAATCCTAATGCTATGCTAATGCTTACAGTCACCCCATGTCAGGCATAGCCCTCCCTGGCTGTGATCTTGTGGCCTCTGGTGGCCCCTTTGACCTAACTTTTGCTACCACGCAACTAGAAAATCTTGGTTTTCTCATAGGAATCGCATGCTGGTCACCCTGGATTTCACAGGTTCAGAGCACTGAGCTCCCTTCATATTTTCTAAAAGTACAGCCTTGGAATGGAAATTAAATATAGCTGTGGCAGTGAATAATAATATGCCATAATGTGAAAATTCCAGGGGCTGTTTGAATCATGTAACATGGCCTGTCATAGGATGAACCATTAGAAAGGAGGCAGTGAACACGTGACCTTTCCGAAAATATCTATATCATTCATTTAGCTGGTTTAAGCTGTTTTTTTTTCTAGCTGCTACAAGAAAACAACGGCCTCCGTTGGTCTTTTTTACGCGTGGAACAACGTTTTCTATTCTTTTGTTCGCAAAACGTAACGCTACCCAAACACATGACATTCCCGGCCCCGTCCCTTCCCCCGCTGCAGTAATCTATTTTGTTGTTGACCTTACATACCCAGTGATCTGCTGGCGACGTCCGCCACTTCATCAGCGACGTTTTCTTTTAACTGTTCACGAAAAATGTAAATAACGAACCCAGACACAATAACAGCACTCAATCCCCATCTCAATACAGAGTGTCCCCTGACGCGAAATGCCTCCTCTAACTCTTGCAGTCTCTGTAATATCGTGGTAGTGTGATAGTGATGAGGTGCAGCATCTGCAGGAATCCGATCCTGTTTTGAGTGTTGTTCTGGGATTTTCTGGCTGGAAAATCTCCTTGGTACATGCTCCCTGTTTATCGCTTTTATCCATGGGTTCGAGATGAACGGAGGAAAGTTGAAAGAACGAATACTTCGTGTTAAGACGTATCTTTGTCTCCCATAGTTCGAAATGCTAGACCGGTGTCTGTTCAAAAATAGGGATTTCTGACAACTGCGGAGCTGAGAGATCAAACCTCTGGTCATAATTTGCTACAACGACGGAAAAGGAACAGAATAATCAGAATTTTAAGTCACAGAAATGGTTTGGACAAATGACCCGCCATATTGTTTACTGCTGTCCTTGTGCTCAGCGTCCATCCAATCGAAAGCTTAGTGACCGCTCATTTATTTTTTTCAAGATGGCGGGCAAACGGTGCATCAGATGTCTCTGGGAGAGCGATATTCAGTGGAAGGCCAGATCTCAGTTTATTGAAACATGGAAAAATCATTATTCAGAAGAACGACTTGCAGCATTGTCTATGGTCTGGGCTAATATGAAGTTCCTAGGCTGCCGATATCCGTCAAAAACAGAGGAACTTGTCAAAGAGCTTGAAGCAAAGGGACCCCGAATTTCGTTGCCGGATAAATCGGTAAAGAAACCCAAACCTTTGATAGGGAATTTCACGATTTATGAGCCAAAAGAAGGAGATGAAAGCACGAACAATAACCCCGTGAGTATTTTAAACGAAAGTGCACAGAAGTCAAAGAAGACAATATCCTTTGAAGATCTTGGTTTTACTGAGAAAACCTCTCTGTACTCTTGTGCGGTGATAATCGCAGACAAATTAATTGCAGCGGGTGAAGGACCTGGAAAAAAGCAGGCCAAGCGAATTGCTGCTGAAAAAGCTTTAGAGATTCTTCGTGCTTGTCAGCCAGTCAAACGACTTGGACCGACCTCTCAACAACATCAAAATGCTGCATGTGTGTCCAAAACAGATTTAGTGTCGAAAGCTTATGTAACGGCGCCGATTATCTCTGATGACAATATTGGCAACCAACTGCTGAGAAAAATGGGATGGACAGGAAGTGGAGGGATTGGTAAGGACTGTCAGGGTCGCACTGAGCCTGTTATGGCTGTCGGCACAGACAGAAAGTTTGGTCTGGGATGTAACCCCACTCAGGGGGCAGACGTGACAAAAGGCTCTGTCCAAGATGTCCTTCTCTCATTTATCAGTGGTG